CTGAGTAACTTGACAGAAAAACACATCTGACAACAATTTTCTTTTTAAGATATCGAACATAAAAACATAACTTGTTTGATATTATGATAACAATATAAACCATAGCTACTGTATTAGAAGTGTTTTTAAGCAAGTGTTTCTGATTCATATAACTTGTCGTTTCATCATTTACAGATGTTGGCTTATAGCCACAGATTGTAACCAAATTAAGAAGAAACAAAGTTGCACCGGAGGTCAACCAACACAACATACGGGATAACGTAATATTTTTGCGGTTACCAATATAGTCATTCGGTGGCTCCTTGGGTATTTGAAGAAATATACTGGACCAGTCCTGACATCTCAACGGATAACGTATCAGTGGCGTGCTTGAATCAAGAGCAAGTCAACAATCACACATCTCGAAAAGGCCGCGTTTATTACCAGGGTCCAATGATGAATGTTTTTCCAGGCTGGTTGGAGTTCCCGGACTTTCGGTTCAGTTTTTGGACATCACGCTTTTATTTATTTGTCTTCTTAGAAACCTGGACATTTTTGGATTTTAATAACATTTGGACGGAGTGCAAACCACAGCACCAATCGATGATCAAACGGAAGCAGGGACATATGTCGCTTAAGGGTTTCCGAAATATAAGTAATTATATTCGAATGCTTATTTTTAAATTCTGCTTGGCAATCACAAAAGAATAAAATAAATGGATATATAATTGGGCAATATTAAGATCTACGTATATTTTAAAGAAGAAAATTCTTGGCAGAATTTTAACGGTAAAATAATTAATCCAATAATCATTTATTAGAAATCATAATATAATAGTACAACATTTAATATTGCCTAAATAAGAAATTATTCAATATGATGTATATCTTTACAGAAGCTGCGATGTCATACTGAAAAAGGTTAAAACATGAACATTTTAAACATTGATATATTTATTTATCTTTTATTTATGTCATAAAATAATCCATCACGGTATTATCCGAAGTTATATTGCTGTAATCAAAAAGGCTAAGATATTGACATGAACATAAAATAATTAAAAATATAACTGATGATATGAAACAATCCGAGATATAACTGACATCATGAAACAATCCGAGATAACACTACCGCATGAACAAATACGAGAACACTGTCGTCATGAAGCAATCCGAGATAATACTGCCTGCAGTCAAGAAACAATCCGAGATTATACTGCCGCTATGAAACAATCCAAGATAATACTGCCGTCATGAACAAATCTGAGATAATTATGCCTGCAGTAATGACACAATACAAGAAAATACTGCCTGCAGTCATGAAACAATCCGAGATAATACTGCATGCGGTCATTAAACAATCCGAGATACTACTGCCATCATGAACCAGTCCGAGATAATACTGCCTGCAGTCATGAACTAGTCCGATAAAATAATGCCTGCAGTCATGAACTAGTCCGATAAAATAATGCAAGCAATCATGAAACAATCCGAGATAATAATGCCTGCAGTCATGAAACAATCCAAGATAATGCTGCCTGTCGTCATGAACCAATCAAATATAATAATGCCTGCAGTCATGAAACATTCCAAGATAATACTGTCTGCCGTCATAAACCAATCCGGGCTAATACTGCCTGCAGTCATGAAACAACTCGAGATAATACTGTCTGCAGTCATGAAACAATCCGAGATAATACTGCAGTCAAGTATCAATCCAAAATAATACTGCCTGCAGTCATGAAACAATCCGAGATAATAATGCCTGCAGCCATAAAACAATCTGATATAATACTGCCTGCAGTCATGAAGCAATCCGAGATAATACTGCCTGCAGTCATGATGAACCAATCCGAGATTATACTGCGTGCAGTCATGAAACAACCAGAGATATTACTACCTGCAGTTATTAAACAATTTTAGATAACACTGCCTGCAGTCATGAAACAACTCCAGATAATACTGCCTGCAGTCATGAAACATTCCGTGATAATACTGCATGCAGTCATGAAATAATCCGAGATAATACTGCCTGCCATCATGAAACAATCCGAGATAATACTGCATGCAGTTATGAAACAATCTGAGATATTACTGCCTGCCATCGTGAACCAATCCGAGATAATACTGCCTGCAGTCATGAAACAATCTAAGATATTACTGCCTGTCGTCATGAACCAATCCGAGATAATACTGCCTGCAGTCATGAAACAATCCGAGATAATACTACCTGCAGTCATGATGAACCAATCCGAGATTATACTGCCTGCAGCTATGAAACAACCCGAGATAATACTACCTGCAGTCATGAAAAAATCCTAGCTACTACTGCCATCATGAACCAATCCGAGGTAATACTGCCTGCAGTCATGAACTAGTCCGATTTAATAATGCCTGTAGTCATGAAACAATCCAAGATAATATTGCCTGCAGTCATTAACTAGTCCGATATAATAATGCCTACAGTCATGAAACAATTTTAGATAATACTGCCTGCAGTCATAAAACAATCCGAGATAATACTGCCTGCAGTCATTAAACAATCCGAGATATTACTGCCTGCAGTCATGATGAACCAATCAGAGATTATACTGCCTGCAGTCATGAAACAACCCGAGATAATACTACCTGCAGTTATGAAACAATTTTAGATAATATTGTCTGCAGTCAGTCATGAAATTATCCCAGATCAGGGATATAACTGCCGTCAAGAAACAATCAGAGATAATACTAATGTCATTAAACAATTCTAGATAATGCTTCTGCAATGAAACAGTCTGAGATAATAATGCCACCATGTAACAATCCAATATATTACTGCAGTCATGAAACAGTTTGCGATAAAACTGCTGACATCATAAAGTCTGTGATAATGCTGCCTTAAAAAACAACCCGTGAAAATTATGCAGTCAAGAATTAATCAGAGATATTCCTGTCACCATTTAACAATATTAGCTTATTCTGTCGCAATGTTATACTCTGAATTATTACTGCCGTCATGAAACAATCAGAATTATTACAGCGGTCATGAAACAATCCGAGATTATACTTCCCATATGAAACCATTCGGGATAATACTGCTGTCATAAAACAAACCTAGATAATTCAGCCGCCAAGAAAACAATCGGACCTTTAACTGAAGTCAAGGAAACATTCCGAGATAATACTGCAGCCATGAAATATTCCAAGATAATACTTCCCTTATGAAACAATCAGAGATAATACTTCTATCATGAAACAGTCCGAGATAATACTGCTGCCATAAGAAAATCCTAGATAATTCAGCCGACAAGACAACAATCCGACCTGAAATTGACGTCATGGAACAATCAAAGATAATGCTGCGAACATAAAATAATCAAAGATAATACTGTCGTTAAAATGAATATTTTTTTTTATCAGTTTGGATGAAAAATTTCGAGTTATCATTAATGTCAAGAAAAATTTCGGGCTTTTATTTATGTCATGAAACAATCCTTCACGACATAAAACGAGGTGTTATTAATACCATCAAATATGCAATGATATAACTACTAACATAAAAATAATCCAATCTAAAGCAGTCGTCATAAAACGATCCGAGTTAAAACTACCGTCAAGAAACAATCCGAGATAATTCTGCGTCATGAAACAATCCAAGATGATAATGCCGTCATAAAACAAAAATAGAAATAAAATGAAATAGTCCGAGTTAATAAGTCCGGGATGAGACAATCCGAGAAAATACTGCCGCCAAGAAACAATCTGTGATTATACTGCCGTCATAAAACAAAAAAGAAAACAAAATACTGCCTCCATTGAATAGGTCGAGATAATACAGTCGTCATTAAACAATGCGAGATAATACTACTGACATGTAACAGTACGAGATAATACAGACGTAAAGAAACAATCCGAGATAGTACTGCCGTCAGGAAATAATCAGAGACAGTATTGCCACCATGGAACAATCCGAGATATTATGGACGCTAGAAAACAATCCGAGATAATACTGTATCATAAAACTGTCCGAGATAATACTGCCGTCATGAAATTATCCAATAAAATACTACCGTCAGGAAAAAGTCCGAGATATTATCGATGTCATGAAATAATTCGAGATAATACTGCCGTCATAATTCAATCCGAGATAATACTGCTGTCATTAAACGATCCCAGTTATTATTGTCGTCATGAAACAATCTGAGATATTACAACCGACATAAAATAATCCAAGATAATAATGCCATAAAGAAACAATCCGAGATAAAATTGCATTCATGAAATGATTCTAGATAAAATTGCAGTAATGAAATAATCCGAAATAATACTGCATTCATGAAATAATCCGAGATATTACTGTCGTTATGAAATATTCAGAGATATTTTTGCCGTTATGAAACAGTCTGAGATAAAACGGCCGGTACAAAACAATCTGAGATAATATTGCGTCATGAAACAGTCCGAGATAATATTGCCGTCATAAAATAATTCAAAATATTACTGCAATAATGAAACAATTCTATAAGATAATACTGCAATCATGAAATAATCCGAGATATTACTGTCGTGATGAAATAATCCTAGTCAATACTGTCGTCAAGAAACGATCCGAGATTGCACTCATGAAATAATCCGATATAAAACCAAATACATGAAACAATCTGAGATTTTATTGAAGCCATGAAATCCGAGATATTACTGTCATCATGAAATAATCCATCATATAACTGTTGACATGTAATTATCCGAGATTTTACTACCAACATGAAATAAATCGGGATATTACTACAGTCATGCAAAAAATTGAGATATTACTGCCATCGTGAAACATTTCCAGATTTTACTGCATTCGTGAAATAATCCGAGATAATACTGCCATCATGAAACAATCCGAGATATCACTGCATTCATGAAAGAATCCGCGACTTTACTACCGTTATGAAATAAATCAGGATATTAGGGTGTGGGTTGCTTTTGTTACTTTTATTAGGTAATTTGAGCCCTTATTTTAGGTGAATCATATTTAGTTTTTATTTCAGATAAGTCACATATCAACAACGACTGCAATACAACAAACTGATTTTACAGCTTGGTGGAATGAGATTGAACTGGTGAGCACACTTCGCTTTCATAGTATTATTATTATTATTATTATTATTATTATTATTATTATTATTATTATCTTTGTAACATTTAAATCGATTTTTAAAAGAATATTTTAAACGGTAAGGCATATATTCTTAAAAAATGTAAACATTTAATGGGATATTTATTTAATGATATAATCCATATAAACGTATAAATGTTTGACACTACATGTACGTCGAAACAAGAAAATAATTTCAAACAAGCCAATTTCCCCATAGAGTCATTTGAGCGCCCAATTTGATCTATGTAAAAAATTCAAATTTTATTATTTTACAATTGACGTCCACATTAAATTTCCTTTTGTAAAGTTTTTAATATTTTTTTTTTAATTTTTGAAATCTCCAAACACAATGTGAATGCTATTGACGTATCTCTTCGAACACTTGGTGTATTTAGGCTTTAAAAAAACATTTACGCTTTTCAAGTGTCAGTTCTTTAAAAGCGTCATGATTTTCAGGTATCGAGTACTTTAAATTTTTCTCGATATTCAGTTGTCAAGTCCTTTCAGAGTTTCTCGATTATCAGGTGTCAAGTACTGTCAATGTTTCACGAGTTTCAGTTATCAAGAACTTTCAGTGTTTTACAATTTTCATGTGTCAAGTACTTTAAACGTTTCACGATTTTCAGTTGTCAAGTACTTTCAGAGTTTCACGATTTTCATGTGTCAAGTACTTTAAGTGTTTCACAATTTTCAGCTGTCAAGTACATTAAGTGTTTCACGATTTTCTGTTGTCAAGTACTTTCAGTATTTCACAATTTTCAGTTGTAAAGTACTTTCAGTGTTTCTCGATTTGAGGTGTCAAGTACTTTCAGTGTTTCACAATTTTCAGCTGTAAAGTACTTTCAGTGTTTCTCGATTTTCAGGTGTCAAGTACTGTCAATGTTTCGCGATCTTTAGTTGTCAAGTACTTTCAGTGTTGCACGATTTTCAGTTGTCAAGTACTTTAAGTGTTTCACGATTTTCAGTTGTTAAGAACTTTCAGTGTAATAAGATTTTAAGTTGTCAAGTTCTTTCAGTATTTCTTGATTTTCAGCTGCCAAATACGTTCAGCATTTCTCGATTATCAGGTGTCAAGTACTGTCAATGTTTCACGATTTTTAGTTGCCGTGTACTTTCAGTGTTTTTCATGAAACATAAAACATGAAACATTTTATTTGATTAAACACCTATTTCAATAACAATTTTCAATGGCGTTGTACAATGGTACATTTAAATCATTTAAATGGATAAAAGGATAAAATTTTACTAAAATAAATTAAAAGTAATTGTTAAATCAAGTCAAACAATAGAAATAGCATTAAGAAAGCTAACATACAAAGAACTGCACTCTCAAAGAGCAAAACACACGCCAGTCTCCTATGATTTGTGTCTACATAAATCTTCACCGCAAGAGTATGCAAACTGGGCTGTCCCAACCAATATAGACACACACGCACGCACGCACACACACAAGTTCAAAATAAGTAAAATATTTAGAAGCTGTATAAAGAAACTTTTATTATTATTCACAGGAATTTAAAATATTTAAGTCATTATCACATTTGTACTTTATCAGATCATTTTTCTATCAGAAAAATCAACAACAGAACTATATGAATATCCAAACTAGAACATGAAGAGAAATAGTCCCTGAAGTACCATGCTTTCAGTTTACTTTTGAAAATGTCTACAGAGCCTGACTGAGAATGTCTCTTGGAAGCTCGTTTCAAAGGCGTGGTCCCACCGTACTAAAACTTCTGTCGCTGAATGTCTTTATCTTATTGAAGGGAACAACATAACACCCCTCTGAAGAAGCTGCAGAGCGAAGAAGTTTTGAAGGCATTTTTTTCAGTCTAAAGACAAGTCAAATAAGCAGGTGCATTTCCAATAGAACTGTTGAACATAAATGTACAGATTTTTAATGTTATTTGAGCGTTGATTGGTAACCAATGGAGATCGTAGAATGATTGCTTTGAACTTTCATATTTTCCACGGTTTAGAACCAGTTTTGCACACATGTTTTGGATTCTTTTCATCTTTGGAATTCACACTGGGATATTCCATAAATTATTGCATTACAGTAATCTAAATGAGAGATGACGAGAGACAAGACTAATATTTCGGTTGCTTCTTTTGTGAGGTATTTCCTGATGTTTTTTTATAACTTTTAAGTAGTTGAACATGGCAGTGCGGCATTTGCGTTTAACATGGTCTTTGAAATTGAAATGTTCGTCCAAATATGCACCTAAATAACGAATGCAGTTACTAGTATTTGATTCGATTTCATCACCGGCAATGTTAATTTGTTCAAAAGAGCATTTGAATAACTGATGTTTGCTGCCAAACTCGATGAATTCAGTTTTTGCTGTATGCATTTTTAATTTGTTTCCATTCAACCAATTGGTTGTTTTCAAAGCACAGTTTTCAAGAGTTTCTATGGAATTCTGTTCTGCATTTTCGTTTGACGGTGAAACGTACGTTTTTCGTGTGATCGTCAGCAAAGCCATGAACCGTGATTGTGGTATAATGTCAAAGAGCGTTCCGACATATGTGAGGTAAAGCCAAAGACCAAGACAGCTGCCTTGTGAGACACTACGTTCCAGTGAACGTGCAGACGACAACGATAGGTTTACACTGACACGACAGCTGCGAGGACGCAAGTATGAGTTGATCCAGTCAAGCGCCGTCGACAATAACCCATATTGTTTAGCAAACACATCCAACAAAATGTCATGGTCTACTGTATCAAAGGCAGCAGTTAGGTCAAGTGCAATCATAGCTGTTACCTCCTGTTGCTCCAGACCGTCCAAAATGTCATTCACGATCCGCAACAGAGCTGACTCACATGAATGGCTCTATTTCTCGATTATCAGGTGTCAAGTAGTTTCAGAGTTTCTCGATTATAAGGTTTCAAGTACTGTCAATGTTTCACGATTTTTAGTTGTCAAGTACTTTCAGTGTTTTACGAGTTTCAGTTGTCAAGAACTTTAGTGTTTCACGATTTTTAGTTGTAAAGTGTCAGTGTAATACGATTTTCAGTTGTCAAGTACTTTCAGTGTTTCACCTTTTTCAGTTATCAAGTATTTTCAGTGTTTCACGATTTTCAGTTGTCAAGTACTTTCAGTGTTTCACAATTTTCAGTTGTCTAGTATATTTGGTGAAATACGATTAACTGATCTCCATTCAGTGCTTCACAATTTACAAGTATCACTTATTCCAGTCCATCACAATTTTCAATTTTCTAGTATCAATTATGTCAGTGCGTTACACTTTCAAATTTCCAGTTATATCCGTGCATCACAATTTTCAATCATTAGTAATAACAATATGTCACAATTTTCAATTTCTGTGAATATCAATGCTTAATAGGGTTTTACAATTTTCAGGTTTCCCATCCATTCAGTGCTTACCAATTTTCAAGATTCAAGTAATTAAAAATAATCACAATTTAAGGGTTTCAAGTACCTCAAGTGAGTCACAGTTTAATGATTTTACAATATTTTGCGTTCTTCACTATTTTAAGGTTTAAGATACTTTCAATGCACCCACATTTCGATGGTTTTAGTAATAAGAATGCTTCAAAATTTTCAGATTTTACAGTACATTCATGATTAAATATTTCAGGTTTCCGGTACTTCCAGTGTATTTCGAAGCTTTCAATGCATCATAATTTTTCCGCTTTTAGCAGCTTTTGTGTTTTACAATTTCCAGGTTTCAAGTACGTTCAGTGCTTGACAATCTTTAGGTTTCTAGTACTTTGAGTGTGTCACTTAGAAAGTTTAGACACTTTACAGGAAACATAGTTAAGAAGACGTCTACCATGTTATAGCCCTGGTGTTAAACTTGCCTTGCCTTGGGGGTAATGGATTTTCCTAACTGGAGCTTGAATTTAATAGCAAACTGTGGATCAACAATCGTCACGTTACAGTCATCAGTGACTTTCCTAGCAACCATTATCTTCCATAGCAAATGGTGACTTCCATAGCAAACCATTTATTTCTTTTGCAGCAATTGACTTTCCAAATATATAAGTGACTTCCTAAGACATAACTGACTTTCCCTAACAACCATTGACTTTCATTAAAACCGTTGACTTTCCTGAGTTACAGTGACTTCAAAGGCAACCATTTAAATTCTTTAGCAACAAGCCAATTCAACATCAGCTGTTCTTTTTCCTAAGCAAAACTTGTATTGATTAGCAACAAGTGTTTTATTTCAATTATTAATGTTCTATTGCAAGCAGTGATTTCCAACAGCAAATAAATTGTTTTATCAACCAGTCACTTCAATAGAAGCAATTGACTCCCATTGCATTCATTGTTTTCCATAGCATACAGAGACTTTCCATATTTCCATAGCGACCATTTCATTTGATAGCTACTATTAACTTTCCATAGAAACTATTAACTTTTAATCTAGAAATCAACCATTGATCTTTATAGTAACCACTAACTTCCAAACTGTAAAACCGCCTGTGAATCTTTTAATTACTAATGATTTTCTCAGTAATAACAATCTGTAAACTGTTTTACATTTGCACGATTTCAGATGCAGATATAACCTTTGTGATCTCAGTAAATGATTATGACTTGATATCTGCTTTTCATTGACAGTAAACAGTGTTAATTGTCCCTTGTCATCAAGAGCTTTTATAATAAGAAGAATCATCATTACTATTGTTCAGAAAAGCTTGTCTTTCATGCCTAATATTTTCATAAACAGATAAATTACTGGGTCAACATCTTCGATAAACGCTTATAAAGATCACCAATCATCGAAACCTTAATGATAAAGTTATTCATTTCCGATTTTAGATACTTGTTCGTCGAAGTTCTCCAGCTTTGAATATTCAGCAAACAATCGACAAATTCAAAACCTGCCGTTTTGATCTAGAAGAAGAGAGAAGGATACAGAAAGAAATAGAAAAGTGGAAGGACTATAAAGACGATGTTGACCGACTAAAACAGGGAATGACAGACGTGAAGAAAGACCTTGATAGCATAAAGGCAAATGTAACTGACGTGAATAAAGACCTAGAAGACGTAAAAAAAAATGATACTGCAGTGAAAAGAGACCTTGAAGGCATAAAGGAAAATGTAACTGATGTGAAGAAAGACCTTAAAGACGTACAAGAAAGTGGTATTGCAGTAAAGAGCGACCTTGAAGGCATTAAGGAAAATGTAACTGATGTGAACAAAGACCTTGAAGACGTAAAAGAAAGTGGTACTGCAGTGAAGAGAGACCTTGAATGCATAAAGGAAAATGTAACTGATGTGACGAAACACCTTGAAGACGTAAAAGAAAGTAGTATTGCAGTGAAGAGAGACCTTGAAGGCATAAAGGAAAATGTAACTGATGTGAAGAAAGACCTTGAAGACGTAAAAGAAAGTGGTACTGCAGTGAAGAGAGACCTCGAAGGCATAAAGGAAAATGTAACTGATGTGAAGAAAGACCTTGAAGACGTAAAAGAAAATGATACTGCAGTGAAGAGAGACGTCGAAGGCATAAAGGAAAATGTAACTGATGTGAAAAGAGACGTTGATGAAATCAAAAGATGGCAAGGGGCAGGTTGGCTTTTTTAAGCTTAAATATTTTATTGTTTATGAATTCTACAATAGAATGACTGAGAAAAGAATATACTAGAATACTAACAAATACTATTTTTATAGTTTGATATAGTAGATAGTTCCGTTTCCAGACCAATGCCATTGCCAGAAATATCAACAATATAACAGTGTTTAAGAAAAACGAAAACAATCTGTTTCAAAGACTATAATCGATTCCTTCCACTTTGCGAATATAACAAATTTTATATCTTGCGGTGAAAAATAAATGTTATCTACAATTTTTCTAGGTTTTAAGTCACAAGCAACTACAAGAAAAACTGATCATGTACCGCAGTATCAATCAATGTAACCGAATATTCATAACATTTGTGTGTAATTTGTCACAAGATGCATGAACATCAATCAATCTCGTGGATAATACGAGTGATAAATAACTATTAAATAATTTTAAAGATCCTTTAACTTATTTTTATATGGTTTTATATCATAAATATAATGCACAAATGAAGATTTATCAATATTGTAATTTCCAAAAAGCAATGTTTGTAAAGATATTACCGAATTTACATTTCATGTTTATAACAGGAGGTAATTAGAAATTTATTTTCTATAAAGTCTATGTTAATTTTAGAAATAAAATAAAATAAATAAATGGCCTTAGATTTTTGAAAAGAAATATGTTTCGAAATTCAGCGAAGATTGCATGATTCAGTACGGGTAAAAATAAAGATTCGGCCACTCGACCATTCGACCCATAACAATTCGTCGAACTTGGGATATTGACGATTAAGCCAGAGCTGGAACTAAATATAGGCATATGTGGCCAGATTCGACGATAAGAAATTTCATTTGAAACTATCCGTAAATCAGTGTAGTCATTAAGTAATAAATATATTAAATTTATGTTTAGAAAATATTTTAATCTGCTTATATTAATGGGTGCATGGAATTAACGAAAAACACCGAAAAACACCAAACAATACCGAACACACTTAAAATAGAAAGAAATATTAAGGCTATGATAAAAATTCAGCATTATAAACAATTTTTGATGGTTATTTAACGAAATGGGTTCAATAATATTAGTTTTAAATCGATAATAATTATATCATAAAATACGCTGATGAAAGTATTCGCTGTCGTTTTATATTTATTTGCTACATGAACTTGCTTGTTTCAAGCGTAGTTTCAATAGAGTAAAGAGCATATATAGAAAAGCAATAATCTATTTCTGATATAATGGCTATACATCATCTAAACCATTAGCAGTATTCACTTTTATTATCTTATTATTTATTTCAGTGGTGAAACTTATAGGTAAGCTCAGGGTGAGGTTTTAGATTGTTGAATGTCGGTCATCCATCTTATGTCAACTGCGGTCTGTCCGCATTTAGCATCGTCGGATACCCACGGCCGAACCATTTACATTTATCAGTTATGTCATGTTAAATGTTAATCAACCATGTGTATCCGACGATGACATTTAATTAACTCTCTGCTGGTCATTTAATTTGTTAACACTCTACTGTTCACACTTTTGCCCCAATTGTCACACAACATCGTAAGAATGTGTGTGACAGGTTTTGTTCGAGTTTGAACATGGATCACTTTGGTTGAAAATCAGAAGTAGGTCACAGTAGCCAAAAATAAGACAAAAATGTTTTAGCTCAATGGTTCATCCAAAGTTAAGAAATTGGTAACACAGCCTGATTATGGAAAAACCCTTGTTAACTTGCTGTCCAATATAAATGAATTTCTTGGAAAGGTTGTATATGAAGACTATATGTAACAATTGTTGAATAATGAAAATATTACAATACATTTGAATTGTTTTGATTATAGATTTCATTTTTATTAATAAACGATAAAGTAATGCATTTGAAAATTAATGTGTAGAGATGAATACATCACACCAGAATATGTGTATTAATGCATCAAAGTACAGTGCATATATCTGTAACATGGAAAGCTATACAAAAGGATGTACTATAATTTGGTAATTTAGTCTTGTAGGATGATTAAATTAATTGACTTTGTATAGAGTTTAAGCCAGGTCATGTCTTTCATTAGATAGCATCACTGGAAACTCAATATTACTTTTTCAATATTCTATAATGCAGGCCATTTAACAGGTGTTTCAAAAAATGATTTTTTTATTGCTCATCTATCAGCTTGCCAAAGCAATACATAGATGGAACATCACATCTTCCTTGTCTCATAAATAACTTTAGAAGAAAAAAGCCTTGGTGTGAGTCACTTGTTAGGGACATTGACCATGGTCAGAAGATGACCCCCATTGTTTATGAGGTCAGTAGGTTAAAATCAACATGGCCTTGATGATAAAAATGGATTGTATTATCAAGCAATGCATAATTCATTACTTTCAGTGCTTTGATTACTATACTTTATACATACAGTAGGGAGAAATATTTGGTAGTCATTAAACTCCACATGATCGGAATAATTTTCGTAGTATCAGATTTGTGAACGGCTCTTTTAAACAACACACATTCAATTACAATAGTTCAATTCTTAGTAAATATATATCATAATTCTTAGAACTGATTTGATAAAAGTTTTTATGTTTCAATTTCTTCAGATGAAACAAGGCAGACGAATGTAAACATTTTTCAGAGGTTTTTTGAATGGTTTTCAGAGTGGAGACGTTATAACCAAATGAAAACAAGTAAGATTTTTCTTAAATACGCTATGCATGTTGCTTTCCAGAATTGATATACAGTCAAACATTTGTAAGAGACAAACTCCGATTGAAGACCACCCTGAAGTTAAAGGCCACTTTTTGAAAAACCTTCATTGTAAAATGTACATTCCGAATAAATACATTTTGTCATGAAAGGCCATGCATGTTTTCTCATTGGATGGTCCTTATTTACCAGTTTAACTGTACTGTGTTATATGCTTGACTTTTGCGTGAAAAATCATGTTTTCCGTTCCCTTTCCAGTCCGTAACAATATGTTGTTGTTAATGTTTTGTTGGAGTAGTCCTTACTTTGTCCTCCGATGAGTAAGAAAATTTCGAGTGTGACACACTTCACTTCTTCACCTGCCGAAAAGACGTGAAATTATTTTAATAGAATGTAACTTGATATACAAGTTTGCTAATGTCTTGTATCAATAAAGTACAGGAAAAATCAACAGCATCCCGACTAGAGTAAAATGACCTTCCAATAAAATGAAAGTATGCTATGCTAAATTGTTTAACGCGGAAAAGTTGGAGTTGAAAGGATACATATATATATCTATATATTCTTTTAACTCCAACTTTTTCTCGTTAAACAATTTAGCATTACATAAGGTCATTTTATAAAATGTTTTTTTCTTTTTTTTCTTTTTTTACATGTGTAAAAGTTGCTTTTTCGTTGTCAAGTAGAGGTGAATTAGCTATATTTTTTAAATATCGACTATATAAATGGCGATTGATCATTGACTGATAGATATGTAATAATAATAATAATAATAATAATAATAATAATAATAATAATAATGATAATAATAATAATAATATACAAATGTTTAGGATATAAAATATCAATTGTCTAAAATATACGAGGGTTGTTTAATATATTTGTGCATTGGTGGAATATGTGACATGTAGGTTGCATAAGAACAATTAAAACTACATAATACTTTGCGTCAATCAATGACAGTTAAACAAATTATGACATGGAAAGCAAATGCCACTTTACAAGCGATAAAAGATTTTAATACAATCACAGCTGCAACTGCGCATCGTCATAATTTTACAGCGTCATACACGTTTTCACAACTTTTTAAAGCTGCACGCCTCGAGATGAGCCAAAATTTTCCCAGAAAATCAAGAAGATTCACACATTTTTTCAAGAAAGATAAAAACATTCAAGATCCAAGCTATATTTTGCATATTATTTGCGGATAAGACTGATTTTTGCAGTATAAATCACCATATTTCTATTGCGTTACTAACGCAGTAAGGGCTGTTTTTGCATATCTTGACCACTTTTTGTTAATTTTCGTGGATTGTAAGTGCCGATTGCAATATGTAAATTATTTTATTTGTTCACTTCATAATATTTTACTTTAAATACATTTCAAAATTTTTCATGAAAATTAACATGAATCTGGAGGCGTACTGCTTTAAAGTATTACCCATCATATTCAATGCATCTCCTGTGGCGGTCAACCAACTTCCTAAATTTGACACTGTAAACGTCACTTGGAATTGTACAAATTATTCAGAACAAAGCATTTTGTAGTGTTTTGAACTTCCGTCCCTTCAGCTGTCCTTTGATGTGTGGAAAAATGTAAATATAGGACAGAGTACCAGTTGTGAACCAAACTAAATTACTAGTATGAACCATTCTTTATATAAAGTGACGGCACTATTTAATAGATTTATTGATTTGAAAAAATGATTATAAAAAAATAGAAGACCCCAAATCCAATTTATCAACTTTTTGACGACCACACGATAACGTAACAAAAGGGCAAATGACGTCATATTTTCTAGTGACGTCAGGAAAACGTACACACACTTTTCCCTGAATTTTGACGCTTATATGTAGTGTTTAAAGGATACTGTGATGCATCAAAGTAATGAACGAGCCGTCGTGCGCCGGTATTACGTTACTAAGGAATTTGTATGATGAGTCGTTTTCACGACACGCCGGTTACACGGTTTTTTCTATTGTTTTCATATTTGAGACAGATTTCACCTTCAAGTGATATAATTTAATTCATGTTTTTTAATCAATTACTCTCACGACAATAACTGCAGTGCACGAAAACTGTACGGGACCGGGCAATACAGAAAAACAATGGAAAATCTGTGAAAACTATGTTAAAAGCGTATTGACCTAACAGAGTAAACACTGACGATGACATACAACGACATAACTGGTGACACTCACTTACATAACGTCACTTCCTTTTTGGTTTGTTAAAGTATATAATAAAGATTAAGCTGAAGAAGCATGATTTCTGTCACCTGTACGGGGGCTTAGGTGGCCAAGCAGGTAGGTAGGCAGGCAGGCTGGCAGTTAGACAGGCAGTCAGGTAGGTAGGTAGGTAGGTAGGTAGGTAGGCAGATAATCAGGCAGGTCGTTACTTAGGTAGGTAGATAGATCTCTGTACGTGACGTGATGCTCAATTGGATTTAATAAAGAAAGGACATTGGTCGATCAACAGCATGAACCTTAAGGTGACCCACATCTAATATTAAAATTGTTATATCGTTCTCATATTTACCTCATTAAATGTAGATAAAGTTAGATAAAGTGTATACTCCTTCAGATTTTGCTGAAAACCATTTAAATGTATTTTTTTCGGCAGACTAATAACATATTGTTACTTAATGTTCTCTTAAACTGCCAGGAATAATGTTACATGAAGACATCATGCCTATGTATTAAATTCAAAGCATATTTTATCCTGTAAGTTAATGGTCTATATTAAGCCTTTTTTCAGTATACAAAACATGCGTTAGCAAAAAGTTCTAAAAATTGAAAAAAGCCCACAAGAAACGGAGATAAAAATACTATATCTTGAACTGAAGCACAGGTGAGCGTCGCGTATGTCATGGCCAGGCGACGTTCATCTGTGAACCGAAGTACAACCAAAACATTATAATATTATAGCAAATGATAAGCGTACTACGTACTTTACGTTTCATAATGATTTACACACTTATTAAATAATAAAATACGCTAAAACGAGCCGTAACATAGCACAATCTTGAAACACACTGGCAGTAAGAAAAGTAATTATAAAAACTCTAGGACATTTTCAGAGTTATCACAAGAACTCCGTGACATTTGGAAAATCGGGTATAAATCTATAAGCCTGGGCATTAAATTTGTAACCTTCCATTAAATTAGGTAATAAGGTATAGCAACGAAGAAATTCTTAAATCAAAAGGTCAATATGTTCGAGTGAGCAAGTAATTTGGAATCTTTACATAAAGCTTCCAGATTTTAAATAAGAGGCGATGACAAATGGACTTTAAAGTTTTTTCTGAAATAAAATACAAAATTTGTAAGGCAAGTTTAATCATCAAAGTTTAATTCAGCACTTAAACTCCCCATTTAACTATTTTTCACGTGTGTTTCTTCAGTTTATCACATAAACCGCGGCGCAGGAGTGTAATAAAGCCATTTAATAAAAACGATACTACACTAGACAATATTACACTAGTGTAATAACACTTTGACGTCACGTCATTTGCACTATAAAAATAGCGTTAAAGCGCGCTAATATTAGCGTTACACTGTAGGCTCGTCAAAGAAAAATGACTTTTGTTAACAGTTTACCGTTCTAATTTTATATATGTGATAAATAGAATATTATATTCTTGTAGATTCAATACTAAATTTATTGAACTCGTTGAATAAAACAATATTATGCTCGCCAGAGGCTCGCATAATATGATTTTATTCAACTCGTTCAATAAATTTAGTATTAAACCTACACTCATTCAATATCCTCTATATACAATAAAGTTTTCCGACGAAATATGTTACGTTTTTCATGAACTCCATGACAAGTTATCATAATAACTCCATCCTTCGTATAACCGTTCCTCCCCCGTGATAATATGCACTGTCTTACCTTAATTCCTGGCTCCTCCCCTGGTTTGCTATGCTTGTCAAAAAATAATAAATTTCTATTCATAGATATAATGTTTGTTTCAGTTGTCCGCGCAAATTCTTATTATTCTGATATTATATCACTGCAATATTCTCATAATTATTCTATCACCGCAAACATAGTAAAGTGTGATACTTGATGTAATATACTGTTGGTCTGCCCTTTTAGTGGTGTGTTCCCTATTTGTAACCTGATAGCTGCCATACTTTTTTACATGTTCATAGCCATTGCCTTGTATATGAAGCAGGGTTTTGATTTGTGTGGGCCTTTCCCATGGAACTGAATTGAAAACATAAGAGTAAAGGAAATTTAACAAAGCATTGTCCAAAATTTGCCCTAAATTATCATTATTTCAGTCCTTTACTTGCAAAATAGTTTTTACTGCAACTTTTATTATAGAATGTACTGTTTATTATCGTCTGAAAAATTGCCAAGTTCTACCAAACTTTTAGTACCTGATAGTGGTGTAGAGGTTACAGGTTAGGTATAAATAACACACACAAACTCCGAGGTTATTTTCCCACTTACATAACACATAAATCGTACGCAAATAGAAGCAATGGACTGGTCGAGCACAGGTACGCTGAATTGATAGATGATGTGTTTTAAATTATTCCGTTACTCCCTATTGCGTTAAGACGCTCATTATAACTACAACAAATACATGTAAATGTAATCACATGTTATAAGGTGCTTTGCCGAAAATCTACAGTATATCTATATATTGTGTGCTTTGACTGTATAATCTGTATGCTACAAGTACAAATGTTGCTGCAATGCAGCAATTGAGAAGCTCCGCGCAAAACAATGCGCTTATTACAGATACCTTACCAAATTATTCCTACGCACAGGTCATGTTATATTCAGATTAAGCACTATTGTAGACTTTTTCCGAATGTTTTGTAAACCATTTTTTGCATAATTATACTTGTCTTATGCACAGTCCATAATTAAAAAGAGGGGAAAGATATTTAATATAAAAAAAATGCTGTCACTGATGCCTACCTGGTAAGGAAAGTAATTTCATTGAATACAAACAAGACTTACAAGACTTGTAAATGTTATGTGGCATGACTGTACTGTGTTCTGTTTGTGTCACTACTGTAGTCAGTAACATTAGATGATAAAAATATCAAAGTCTGTTTTTTTTATTATTATACGTGTAACAAATATACAAATAGTAAGAAAAGGGACTAATATTTTAATATAGTAATTTTACATGCATTTTTCTCATGTCAAATTAAAAAAAAATGGTTTCTTCAATACTGAAACTAGAACACACTCTGAAATGAAAAAATGGGATGAATTTCAAAAAGACCAAATTCAGGATTTTTTTGTTTCTTATACACGCGTTACATGGTGATACAGTATTCATCAATATAATAGAAGACTGATACCTGAATTTTAGGCAGGTATGAGGAATTCACTAACATCATGTTCGTGCGAGTCAAAGATATAAAAGGTATTTGACATTGGTGATATATATAAAGAAAACTGTTGTCAATTAATTCATCGGGAGATATCAATATACTTTTTTGTTGATTTGCTTTAAAACAATTTATAAAAACATTACACTTTATGCTCAAACTGAAGATCAAAGTTTCTGTTATCAATGATGCTATCTATCTATAGCCTATGGTAAGGCCACAAAATGCAGCTTTCGCTGTCGAGTACGGACCCCGGACATGTCACAAGTCATACCCTGTATGCAATACCAGTGACGCCAATGAAATGTAACCTTATATACTAAAGTTAAATTATTTCAAAACAACCAATATATCAAAATGTTATTATCAAACATTTAATTTCATAAATATAAATTAAGAATAATTACCGAAAGCAAAATTATTAAAGTCTTATGCCTGAAATCTTCATTATATTGACAAAATCAATCACTAATAGTATATTTGATATGCTGTGTGTAAATGTAATTCAAAATGTAACAAATTAGAGTTTTCATGTACTACTAAAAAGGGAAATAACAAATTTATAACTTAAGTGTTAAAAATCAGAACATTTATAGCTATTTATAGCTTTCAATTCATGTACAGCAGAACTGCTTTCCGGTTCTCGTTCATTAATATGACATGCTGCGAATCACCGTCTTTAACGCAGATTTATTTTTAGCTATAAATCGAAGGGATTAATTGATCAAATCCGGGCCCATGGACAAAAAAAGTAAACACAAATAGGTTAATAAAATCAAACAATAATCCGTATTTAGTCTGATTATGAATAATAGCCGAGGAATTCCGATTAGCCAAAATTAAAATTATGGAGAAATCAGGAGAAATTACTTGCTGTTTCGAGTAGAAACCCCCTCCTCTTATTTCCCTTTCGTGATAACTATTTGTTTTATATTTTTAATGTAAAAATATCATTTGATCAGAATTTGTTTTTCATATTTTTAATTTAAAAAATATCATTTTAAAAAAACGGTTCAAACATGTTAAAAATATATCGTTCGTTCGTGGTGTTTTTTCATGCAATGAACTATAGAAGAAATATTTTCTTTTTTAGCTTGTCCACACCCTCCCCCGCCAATTCTTTGAGTTCAGAATGAAGAAGGAAAATGCTTATTTTTCAGCATACAATGTACTAATTATTAACGATGAAAATACTTCGTTTTGTATATGAATTTATGCAAATGATTAAAACAAAGTTTAGCTTTAATTATGTATTGTTAATGTTAAACATAGCATCTGAATATAGTATTACATATCTACTTCTTATTTGTCATATGCATTATTTGTTCCTAACCATGCAAAATTGAAGTTAGTAACACCTCAGCATTTTATATATTATATAGAAAGATTGTCACTGATTAACATTTTTTTCTACTCTCTTTCCAGAACTTGAAGGCGAAACCTGATTAAATTCTACAGAAAAAGGTGTAGTTTCAATACCTCTCTCACCGCATTCTTGAAGAAATAGAGGGACACCTTAGCTGGGTTCTATGTGATGCCAGATATAGTCCCCGTAAAAACAGAAATCCGTAACTTGTCAATGAAGAGGAAAGAAACACCGATCAAGTCTTTGAAAGACCTGTTTTCAACCGGAAATGGAGATCAACAACAGATATTTTATCTATCAGCTGATGCAGGTTTTGGAAAAACTGCTTTCTCAAAATACCTTGCAATCACATGGTGTTCAAGCTCATTGCCACGATGAAAACTACGCCTGTTTTAAAAAGGACGAGTTAAACACGTTATTTTGACTTTAAAGTTCTTATTTTTGGTTTTATTAAGAGACTGTGCCTCTGTTTGTAACATTGACGATATGATTGAACAACAAATTACCAAGAAACTTCCTTCCTCTGCAATACTAGATGAAGTTTTACGTAGAGAAAAGTGCTTGATTATATTGGACGGTCTTGACGAATGGACTCACCCTGTAAATAGTTGTCGCGAAGTATCAGAAAAAATCCCACATCGATACGTACGTGATAATTGTGTTATTCTGACGACAACACGACCGTGGAAGCTTGGACTCGCAAATCTCAAAACATGTCAAATAAACAAAAAAGTAGAATTGGTTCAATTAAATGCAGATTCTACACGGCAACTAGAAAAAAATGCTATAAGAAAAATGACCGGTGTCCATAACGATAGAGAACTGGAGAGTAAAATATGGGACTTAAATGAAGTGATAAGTGACCGCCGCTTAAAGCACATGCAAGAGATTCCACTCCTCCTCATGTATATAGTTTGTCTATGGTGCAACAACAAACCTATAGGAAATTCAAAACATGAAATTTACACCAATATCATTGAATTTCTATTATCGAGAACGTCAAAGAAAAACCCGGAAGTTCAACCATCTCGTGAATCGTCTGCCAGTGAAATTCCAGAATACTTCAAACGTCATGAATTTTGTAAACATTTTTACAGTCTTATAACATCATTAGCAGAACTAGCCTACCAAACATTATTTAACGAAACAAGAGAAAATACGCTGGTATTTGATAGAACAGTTGCTGATATATATCTCAAAGCAGACGACATGAAATTAAGTCTTCTCTCAGGAATACTGTCAGAAAGTAGCAGTAAAAATTTAATCGAAGAACTTATCAAAGTATCTTTTCTCACAAAAACTGTGCAAGAATTCTTTGCCAACCATATATTAGTTTCTCACAGCGTTCCCTAGTAAAATGTAGAAACTGTTTCAGATATTCTGGACATGTCAAACATTTGTGAATTTATAAGTGGAATGGATGCTGACCGGATGTGTGCAATATCAAATGATTTGATGTCTGTGATAAATGAAGACAAGAGAACACACCGCTATAGAACTAGGACAGGTCGCGAGGACATTGACGATAATCCATTGTATAACATACAGAAAATGTTCATGTCGTGTTTACAAGAAATGCCTGAAAGTGAAAATATTCAATTTTGTTTACAAGATTTCTTCATTTACCCGTACAACATGCACAGTAAGCAGTTACAACGTTTGTTAAAACAAAATAAAACCAACATAAAATCACTTTATATAAAAACCAGACATACTTTCAGCAGTTTACGTGAAATTATAGATTTATTCTCTCTCACAGATCTCAGTCATATACAGAAACTTAACTATCATGGTTACAGGCGGGAGGAGACTGCAGAGATAAACCGGATATTGTTTCCCAGTTTACAGAGCGTTACTTTGTGGCGGGGTAAATGGACAAATGATGAAGAAAATATGAGTGAAAATTTAGCGCAAGTACAAAACTTACAATGTTTAGAGGTTCTCGACTTCACGTTATCTCACAAAATATTGGAAACATTTTTCAATTTTATATCCAGTCAAAAATCAATGAACGAGTTAACATTGAGCGGGTTAGACTGTGAAGAACGTGACCGCCATGATTGTAAGAAATGGAACTTGGACTTGTCTCAACATTCAACTCTATCAATGTTAAACTTGCGGAGGTTACCTTGGAGGCTACAATTAAATATATCAACACCGTCATTAGTTTCTGTTAGGTTGTACGACATCAATCTAGATGAAAGTTCATTGTTACTGTCACGTGACATGTTAAATATTGAATGGGTGCAGTTGGTGTGTATAGAAATGTCTGCAGGAACTTTACAGAACTTTATCCCCGTGCTGGAAAATCTGCCGCAATCAGTTACAGTAGAGATGTACCCCATTAAACCGGAAACAGAATGTGACCGTGTGAGAGAAAATATTCGGAGTTCAGTCAATCCACAAAGTTTTCGTGTGCTAATAGACAAGGACGGCTGGTGGGGGTTTCGGTTCCAAACAATAAAACCAAGTAAAGAATAAACAAAGGAAAAACATTGTGAAATAAACTGAAGAAATTACTTCAATAATTTTAAATGAAAACAATTTAAAAATGGACACTAAAAAACAAAATGGCAGTTTCTTCTGCGTTATACATGTACTGTATAGTTTGGTCATTTAATTAACAAACATTTATTTCAGTTTAAAGTTTCATTAGGTGACAGTTATTTACAAATAAATAAATAAATAAAAACAATTTTAAGAGGAGAAATAATTCAAGGACGTTTTTAAACCGGAACTTAATGGATAACTTGAAATAAGGATTTGGAAATATTTTAAAGGTAAGAGATTTTATATTGATTTTTTTACTTTTTTATATTTTTTCTTTTTACACACCTAAGTATTGAAATAGATTATTCTAATTGAATTATAAGATTTTCTTTTTATTAAAAAATAAAACTTAATATATAATAATAATAAAATCTACTTTTAATTATTTTCCATATTTTTTTATTTTGTAGATATATATTTTCAAAGTCCATTGACATATGGCTTTGTTATTTTGTACACTAATTCACTATCATGACCCCCCCAATCCCCAAACTGTACATAGACAGGTGGAGGTAACTTTTTTAAGAATTTTGGCAGAATTATGTCTCTTTTTTGACTTAGAATTTATGCTGCGTACCATCCCCAATATATTCAAAGTCCATTGACATATGGCTTTGTTACTTTGCACATTCATCCACCATAATAACCCCCACCCCAAATCTGTTGACAGATGGAGGTAACTCTATTAAGCATTTGACAGAATTATGCCCCTCTTGCGACTTAGAATTTATGCTTCATTTTTCGTACCACCCCAAATATATTCAAAGTCCATTGACATATGGCTTTATTATTTAGCACACTTATTCAGCCTCATGCCCCCACCATGGAGACAGGAGGAGGTAACTCTATGAAGCATTTTGACAGAATTATGCCTCTTTTTCGACTTAGAATTTATGCTTTGGTTTGCGTACCACCCCCCAATATTTTCAAAGTCCATTGACATATGGCTTTATTACTTTGCACACTTTTTTTCACCATCGTGTCCCCAACATGAAGACAGGAGGCGGTAACTATATCAAGCTTGTTGACAGAATTATGGCCCTTTTTGACTTAGATTTTATGCCTAAGTTTGCGTACCACCTCAAATATTTTCAAAGTCCATTGACATATGGCTTTGTTTCTTTGCACACTTATTCACCATTATGACCCCCCCCGATCCCAATCTGTAGACAAGTGGAGGTAACTTTATTAAGCTTTTTGACAGAATTATGACCTTTTACGACTTAGAATATATGCTTTAAATTGCGTACCACCCCCAATATATATTCAAAGTCCATTGACATATGGCTTTTTAACTTAATACACTTATTCATCATTATGTCCCAAACATGTAGACAGGGGGAGGTAACTAAATCAAGCTTTTTGACAGATTTATGCCCCTTTTACGATTTAAAATGTATGCTTTAGTTTGCGTACCATCCCCAATACTTTCAAAGTCCATTGACATATGGCTTAATTAATTAGCACACTTATTCACCATCATGCCCCCAACATGTAGGCAAGAAGTTCTAACTCTATCAAGCTTTTTGACAGAATTATGCCTCTTTTTGACTTAGAATTTATGCTTTAGTTTGTAAACCACCCCCGATATATTCAAAGTCCATTGACATAAATAGTGCATTATTACTTAGCACACTTATTCAACATCATGCCCACAACATGTAGACAGGTAAAGGTAACTCTATTTAGCATTTTGACAGAATTATGTCCCTTTTCGACTTAGAATTTATGCTTTTGTTTGCGTACCACCCCCAATGTTTTCAAAGTCTATTGACATATGGCTTTATTACTTAGCATACTTATTCACAAACATGTCCCAAACATGTAGCCAGGAGGCGATTACTCTATCAAGCTTTTTAAGAGAATTATGCCCCTTTTTGATTTAGAATTTATGCTTAAGTTTACGTACCACCTCAAATATTTTCAAAGTCCATTGACATATGGCTTTGTTACTTTGCAAACTTATTCACCATCCTAACCCCCCGAACCCCAATCTGTAGACAGGTGGAGGTAACTCTATTAAGCATTTTGACAGAATTATGCCCCTTTTTCGACTTAGAATTTATGCTTTAGTTTGCTTACCACCCCCAATACTTTCAAAATCCATTGACATATGGCTTTATTACTTAGCACACTCATTCACCATCATGCCCCCAACATGTAGACAGGAGGAGGTAACTCTATCAAGCTTTTTGACAGAATAATGCCCCCGTTTTAAGTTAGAATGCATGCTTAAGTTTGCGTACCACCTCAAATATTTTCAAAATCCATTGACTAGGCTTTATTACTTTTCACATTTATTGACCATCATGACCACAACCTGCAGATTGGAGGAGGTAACTCTATCAAGCATTTTGACAGAATTATGCCCCTTTTTCGACTTAGAATTAATGCTTAAGTTTGTGTACCACATCAAATATTTTCAAAGTCCATTGACATATGGCTTTGAAACTTTTCAGACTTGTTCGCCATCATGTCTGCAACCTGTAGACATGAGGTGGTAACTCTTTCAAGCATATTGACAAAATTATGCACCTTTTTTGACTCAGAATTTATGTTTAAGGTTGCGTACCACCACAAATAATTTCAAAGTGTATTGATATATGGCTTTGCACACTTGTTCACCATCATGCACCCATTCTGTATACAGGAGGAGGTAACTCTATTAAGCATTTTGACAGACTTTTGCGTCTTTTAGACTTTTAATTTACATAAATGTTTGCGTACCGACTTTGAGTTGAAACTTTATACACTTGTTTGAGAGCATTATTGAGGTCACTCTCCAAGTTATCTACTTGTATTTATGCTACCTGTAACATGGATTTGAA